ATATTTGTTTTAAGATCAAAATGTGTCAAGGGAATTTATCGAAGGATTTATCTCCATATACAGGGAACATCCTTGTTTGTGGCAAATAAAATGTAAAGAATACACCAACAAAAATTTGAAGGCAAGCAGGGCTTATGACAATTTAGTTACCTACTGTAAATCAAATGGATATTCGAATGCAAATGTATTAGTAGTATTGTATATATGCTAAAAGCGACATTAAAACTTTCAACTCGACGAAAGACCACAGTTTTGATGAACCCGCTTATAAAACTGTCAGATCAAATGCACTAACACACAGTTTTTACCGTAGTTTCAAAGACTAAAGGTTTATCTTTATGTGAGAAATGTGTGTTAATATAGAATATGTGGTTTTAACTGTGGCAGATCAGACCCAAAGATTTACCTGTGCCAGTCCAATCCGGCAGTTTTAACTTTATGTGTATGCCTTGCTATTCTCTCGGCCGTCTGATCTCGAGGTTTTGTAGCTCGTTAGAGCGTTGGAATAATCGAAACACCTGTGCTCTCGCTCGAGCAGCGCGTTTGCGTTATTCGGTGATGACGAGTGACGATTGACGTTAGTAATGCTGTGGCCACTGTCATTCGTCATTCGTCTAAAAATAATCGAATGAATTTATATGATCACTCGAGATATCTCGAGAGATTTTCATAATCGATATAATCGATAATTTTCATTCGAGTAGTCCCATCACTAGAGGGGACTAAACACTTTTTAAATGCAGAAAATATTAAGCAATACCTTTTCTGGATTATGCATATCTAACATTTAAATTAAAAGCTATAGAGGTTACTCGCGCTCCCACAATCGGCCGCAAAAACAGGCGTACGGTATTATCAAAGGCTGTCCTCGTGAGCCGAAGGGCGCGAAGGTCCTTCCTTTATCCAAACGTCGTATTCTGAAGGCGATTCCTTAGCGTCTTCTAAGAGACATTTCCTGTTTAAAATGAGTCCTCGCCGAAAATCGAATTTTTTCGGTGCGAGAGAGATACCTGAAGTACATCCGTACAGAGTTGCAGACAAATGTCAATGAAGATGGCAAAATAAATTTTGTATTTTGAAGCGTTTTCCCGGCCGATCGGGCCACGGCGGGTCGTTATTTTGCCGTTAGGCACCAGTTCCGATTTTTCAGAGACGCTACTTTGGCGATAATACTTGATTTGAACATTTTCAATTTTCTGTTTACTTTCGCGGAGACTCAAGGAATCAAATAGCCAGTGCAGGCTTTATTCAACTTTATATCGCCGTAGCTTATTTTGAAAACTCGCGACTGCGAAGCTGAAAGTCTGGGGTTCGAATCGCGATCGAGTCGCATTTTTTCTTTTCTTTTTTTTTTGAAAAATGTATATTATTTACTAACCCACGGAGAATGCGCGCAGCGCGGCATTTTGCTCCGAAAAAATGTCATTGGTTTTTTTACCATAACTCGGTTAATTCTGAAGCTATAGTATCCTACAAAAAAGCATTTTAAAGATAATTTCAAGGGCTGTACGCAGAGGCGGACTGGCTAGATGAACAGGCCCGGGAAACATTCATCAAGCCGCCCGTTTTTTGAAAGTTTCAGAATTTATTTTATTTTAAATAGGCTCTTCGTGAATGATTTGAAATATTTGAAAAAAGTTAGCCATAGATAATTTGATACTGTTTTAAAAATAATTAATCTCTCAATTTGTTTGTAGATAAAAATTAAAATCTTAAATTAAAATAATTTAGATTTTTTTCAAATGGATAAGTAGTAGTTGGAAGGTATAAGAAATTAAAGCATTATTCTTTTTAATAAATGAATAATCATTAAAATATATATTTTGTATCAATCAACAACATATTGTGTTGTAGAGCTAAGTATAATCTAAAAATTCAATTTAATATAAAAGAAGATCTTTTAAAAGTGTATTTAAAGGGAAATACGTTTGTCAATATTTCTATTCTATTTAAAATTCTGTAACAACATATGATGCAGCTTTTACATGGCTCATGTTTCTTTTTATTTTTTCCTTTATCTTTCTGCTGAGTTTTATCAGTTTCATCTTCTGTGATTTCTTCACTTTCACTTTCATCACATCGACGTGTTTCATACTCGTCCAATGGAGTTTGTACAAGTTTTTGTTCCACTGGTGTGCTAAACTTGTTAATTCATCTCTTAGTTTTTGAGGAGTTATTTCTGGTTCATATATGACCAATTTCTCACACAGTTTGTTAAAAACTGGAGCTTTTAATCCTTTCATGCGTATTGTATCTAAGTTTTTTGGATCCAAAAAGGCAATATCAGCATAAAACTCATTATCCAAAGAGCAGAATCGACGTTCTATAGAAGCTACTACAATATGCATGAAACTCTTACAGAATGCATATAAAAATATCAAACAATTTAAAGTTAATTAATCACATGAAAAGATCTATATAAATACAAAGCTATAGAATAGATAAAAAAAGTAATTAAATTAGGTCCATAAAGTTTTGATGCAGTTTAAGGTATCGAGTTTTTTTTATATTAGTAGAAGCTTATTTTTAAGGAGGTACTAGACTTTTAATTGGAAATACATAATAATTATGGTTGATTTAACTCATTGAAAAATCGTTTTTTGGTCTCCGGCCGCAAAGTACCAACCGGCCCGAAAGTTGCGGTTGGTTGGTTGGTTGGGCCGCTGCGCTAAACAAAATTGATCCTTTCCGGCGCCATCGAGCAAAAAAATTGTACACACACCTCGGAAAGTAAAAAAGAAAGCCTCAGATCACATGCAATTGTCGGCCAAGGTGAAGTCGACATTTCTTATTTTACTGCCCTAGGTGTGTAATATATACTTTTTTTTCATTTCTTTCCAAATTTTTTTCCTTGATTTTTTTCCAATTTATTACTCAAAATTTTTTCCAATTTTTGTTTTTCAAATTTTTTTTTTAATTTTTTTTTCATTAAAAAAAATTTTTTTTTCAAAAATATTTTTCATCCTTCTAACAGCGCGGACCGGCCCAAAATGACCGCGGCCCATCGGGAAACCTCCCGAGTTCCCGCATAGCCAATCCGCCTCTGGCTGTAAGATCGTTTGCATATAAAACCTTTTAAGTCCTTCGTTTTTTAAAGGGAAAGGATCGAAGGGCTCCTGGAGCGTTATACACGTAAAATTAATCCGTTTTCCGTTATTTGACGTAGAATAGATACATCGATTCGAGTATTCCCCCAAAAAAAGTCACCTTCCACTAACCATATTTCGCTTTGTATAGGACGTACAACACTTTTTAAAAAACATTTTTCTTCGTTTATTTATAAGCTACATTTTTGTTCATTACGTTTTTTTAATAAAATGCGTAGTTTTTGAGTTATTCGCGAAAAATACTTTGAAAAAGTGTTTTTCACTCAAAATCTGAAGTTTTCAATAGTGAATAACTAAAAAACTATTGATTTCTCGAAAAAATTCTACGAATATTTTTTGCTCCAAATTTGTTTTTTTTTTTTAATTTCCACTTCCGAGAAGGGGTGTCAACCCCCAACAAGGTGGAAGCGTCGATCGGCGCTATGTCACTAATGTTCATTGACCTTTCTACACATGCTGGTAGAAACTTTTTTGTTGATGTGACATAAAATCGGCCAAAAGTGTGGCCAAGTATTTTAGTTAGGTATACGTACCCTGAATAAGTAATATTTCACATTACTGATACTTAACATACAGGGTGTTCCAATTAAAACTTCCCATCTGAAAAATATCGGAATTAAAAAAAAACAAAAAAACTGAGACACGTCGATTTTCTTTTCAAGGACACGTGATGGCGTAAATTTTGGTGTCTTAGAAACTGCCCCTTAGGCAGGGACGTAAAATACCCTTAAACTTTAAATGGCATTCTATGTTGAGTGACACCTCATTTTAAAGCTTTTTCAATTCTGCTCTCGACCACATACGACTTTTTAAATTTTGGTTTGGATATGACAATAAAATCATCACTTAAAGAATAAGACAATACATTGATGAAAGAAAGAATGTTACTTTATTAAATGTTCAAATTGGCTTCCCTCTGTTTCCGTATAATAATAAAATGTTTGCTTCACTACCGAACGAACATTTCGAAGCATTCCGGGCGTTATCTGTCTACATTCTTCAACAATTCGCTGACGAAGCTCCTCAAGTGAGTTCGGTCGTGTTGCATAATTTTTCGACTGTAAGTGTCCCCATAGAAAAAGTCTATGGGCGTTAGATCTGGCGATCTGGGAGGCTACTCAATTGAATCTCTGCGTCCTATCGTAATTTGGAAAGTTCTGATTAAGAAAATCACGCGCATCTATGGCATAATGTGATGGAGCACCTGGAGCATCCTGCTGAAACCACACTCCTTTTCTGGCAAAGCGTCATTTTCCAATACTTCCACAATCATCGGGTAGATATTCGTTTCCAGTAGATTCAGATGCATGTTTCCATCCAGATTTAAAGTAAAACAGATAAAAATGTTGAGTATGAAGTTTTTGTACTAACAGATAAACGAAAAATCAAAACGAATTTTTTTATCGAGAAATTGTTGAAGAATGTCGTCAGATAACGCCCGAAGTGCTTCGAAATATTCGTTCGGAAATGGAGCAAAGATTTCATTATTGTATGGAAGCGGAGGGAAACCATGCAATTTGAACATTTAATAAAATAACATTCTTCCATTCACTGATATTTTGTCTTGTTCTTTAAGTGATGATTTTATTGACCCATCCAAACCAAAATTTAAAAAGTCGTATGTCGTCATGAGCAGAATTGAAAAAGCTTTAAAATGTGGTGTCACTCAACATAGGGTGCCATTTAAAGTTTAAGGGCATTTTACGAGGGCACCATCATGTGTCCCCCTTGAAAAGAAAATCGACGTGTCGACGGAAGTTTTAATTGAAACACCCTCTATATTAAACTTTAAAAAAAACTTAGAAATTATGTTATTATATAAAAGGTAATTTTTACTTATTTAATAAAATTCCTCTAAAATTTGAGACAATTTTATAATCTCATTATTTTTAGGACTGATTCTGATTGGAAAAATGCATGGCATAAAGAAAAATATTCTAGATGTCGTGAAACATTAATAAGACACTTATACTGGGCTTGTGAAAAGGATATATATCGACTGACTCGAAGAAGTGACCCCAGCTATAAATATTACAATGACAATGAATGTAATTATTTTTATCATCTTTACATTTCTTTGTATTAAATCAATATTTTTCAGTGGATTATCCATGGCTTGTTCCAAACAAGGCAAAACGACTGCTTCGCTTCAGGAGAAATATTAATCGCAGATCAGGATCATCTATCACAAACGAATGTTGTAAATCATCAGGATGTACATGGGAAGAATATGCCGAGTACTGTCCTACTAATAAACGATATACCTCCTATATATAATAGATATGAGTTTGTAGCAAATGACTATGATATAAAATATTGTCAGTAAGATACCGGAATTACTATTTAATCAGTATTCATGAAATGATACTTACCTTTGAAGTACATATTTTTCTTTCAAAGCAATAAGTAATTACCAAGGCCTTATGTGTGACCAAAATATTCACTATTGAATATGAAAAATTTATTTTCATAAAACTTTCCAATTCATTAATGATGAAATACTTGGTATTGCACTGCACACAGTGTTAAAAAAATAGTTACTTTACTGCTGCATTATCTGAATTCCTTGTTTAAATAACAAAACTAATTCCATCCGCTTTGAAGAGGTCCCATTGGGCTTTCATATAATGCTTTTGCTACCAACGATATTTCCATGATTGGAAGCATCCTTGAAAGACTGCCGATTTCCAGCCAAAAATTGCTGGCAATGTTGTAGGTATAGAAGCCCTCAGAACTTTTGAATAAGATATCGTACATGAGTTTTTATGGTATTCCAATGTTACAAGCATAAGATACCTGATTGATTTCAATTTTAAATAAGAAGGTACCTACATCTTTTTGGTTTACACACAGTTGTGTCAAAATTTATAATTACTGATTTGTAAAATATTTCCAGTGACACTAATCAAAGTAAATATTTCAAAAAGTTTATTAGAAATGCACAGTATATAAAAAATATATTCACTTTTGCATAAGACCTTTGTACAGAATATAACAAATATATAAAAATTAATCATATCCTGTATAAATTACTGCATCCGGTATTTACTAATGTCAATGTTTTATATCACACTTGATTAAATTTTTTCTGTACTATCAGTCATGTTACATTAAATCAGTGGCAGCTGGTGATTAAAGGCATCACATTTTGATAATGAAATGTGAGACCCACACTAATGTTCGGAGATGATTTCTAGGCCTGTATTACATGTGTATGTGCAAATTAATTATTTTTTTGATAATAAAATAATGTATATAAAAAAGGTATTTTCTAATTTTTAAAAAAATTTAATTTTTCTTAAAGTTGCAGTTTTATGAAATTAAAAAAATGGAATGTTGGAATCAAAATTTAAATAGGTATAACTTCAAAAAAAAATTTAATTCCTTGAAAAATAAAAAAATATGATTGGATCTACCAATTAATTATAAAAAAAATATATTTTGTACATATGTTCATGAAAGTTCTCTATATGGGCAAAGAAATCATTCCCTAAAAAACAGTATGGCCCCCATGTTTCAATATCAGAATATGACTGCTTTAATTTTCATCAGTAGCCGCTGCATTAAATAACATATCATAATCATGTAATTTCATTATTTTTAGCTAGCATTGTTCATATAAGTGGCCATAGAATTAGATCCTCTGTAATAATTATTTATTAAATTAAACGTATATTAAATCGATGTTGCAATAAAAATTTTTATCCTGTTTTTTAACATATTTACCAAAGCGTAATTATTTATTTGCAAATAAATCAAACAATAGTTATTTTTGTATCTAGTGCGCGAAATGCCACTTTGGTGATCGAGAATTGAATTTTTTAACGAGGCGAAGCCGAGTTAAAAAATTATTCGAGACCACCAAAGTAGTTCGCGCACAAGATGCAAACAATATTTTTTCTACAAACGTCAAAATCTATCTCTTAAAAATATTATAAATAAGTAAAATGCCTAATTCATTATAGAAATTATTGTAAAATTCTATCATTATTTTAAAAGTATTTAATTGTTATTCATTTAAAAATAAATAATAATTTGGAGTTTTGCTTCATTTTTTCAAAGATTGAAATACAAAACTCTTATTAATTTACATGCAGTGTGTGAAATACTTCACACCCTAGTGCGCGAAGTATTTCGCGCATAGTCACGGTAACGTAAGAATCCGAAAAAAAGTGTCACTTCGCATATTGTTGTCAATGCGCAAACCTTGTCATTTTTTGACGTTTGTAGAAAAAATAAATTCTTTCATTCAAATCAAAATTATATTGCCTAAAATTTATATAAAGTTTTAAATATTTATTTTGTAGGTAAATGAATTTTTCCTTAGACCAATAAAATGATTAAATTAATCGCAAAAATTTATATAAAATAATACATATTTCCGGAGGGTTACACAGGTTGAACAAGGCAAATAAATTCTCGTATTCTTTTATTCAATTTTATTACTCTTATTTATCTTTGTACGTACATGGACACCATTGTATTTCAAAAAATAAATATAATAACTAATCCATGAATATATAATTCCAATTGAGCAATAAGCAGATGTAAACATTAATGGTAAAAATGGTAACTGATCTTTAAAACTTAACAAGTTATGTATCACATTTTCATATAAAAACACTGCCGCCAATCCTAATATATACACACTTTCTAACGGATTCAGTAATGGCAATGAATAGCTGCAAATTGATAGTGGAAATATTTTATAAAAACTATGAAAAGCGTAAAATGAATACAATAATAGTAGAAGAACTTTCACACAGAGCAAAGAAGATGGGTAAAGTAATGGGAACAATGAATAATGCCCCACTGTTGATAAAATTAGAAATATCCTAGCATCAGTTGATTCCATAATGGACAAAATACTAAAACATAAATTATAAAAAATTAACAACTGGGCCTACATGGTGTATTTAAATTTACACAATTGGATCATATACTTTAACTTTTGAAAAATATCACAAATAAGCAAATATCTCAAATAAATAATTTAATTTTTTTTAGACTGACATCACACAGTTGTATAAATCAAAAATACATAAGGGCTCTTTGAAATTGGCCCTCTGACATTTTTTTTAATTGTTCCGATCTCTGTTTATCTAGAAGGATCAAACTTGATTTATTTGTTAACTCTTATAAGGACAACCTTTTGATGTAAAAAAAGATGTTTTAATTTTAACTGTAGGCATCACATTTGTGAGGGATAGCTGATATTTTTAATTTTATTTTGTTTATCTTCGACTTTTTTGTATTGTTAATATCAAAATCAAAAACTTCTGGTTTAAAGAGCTACTCTTGCTCTTGGCTAGGGTGTATTGTACACGAGAAAAATATTATTTGAAATGATTGTCTTTTTTGCACGATAATTACAAATGTACAAATTATTTGCTAATATTTAGTAGCTTGTAATTTTGTACTAAATAATATCACAAACCAGCAAACAAAACGACTATTAACAAAAACATACAAACTTTATTTATTTTATAAAATATGCTCTACATGGTGACCATTGCTTTCGATGCATAAAGTGATTCGTTTCTCTAATGATTGTAGAATCCTTATGACGATATACTATTGTTTGTAAACTTATTACAGGCGTGTTGAATTCCTGCCCAAAAATAATCACGTGTTTATAATGGTTCAGAATAGACTAATGTTTTTAGGTATCCCCAGACACAAAAAATGTAAGGATTTAAATCGAGATACCTTCCTGGCCAAGTAACTGAACCCCCTCTTCCGATCCAAAGCATTTGTAGTTTTATAATTATCGTGCAAAAAACAAACATTTCAAAATGATTATTCTCGTATATGGTAGACTAACCTAATCCTAACCACTCAAAACAAGAGTACCACTTTAATCTAGAATACTCTTAGGTTTTTGATTTTGATATTGAAAATACCAAAATATAAATAAAATAATATAAAATAAAAAAATATAGTTAAAAATATCAGCTGACCCTCCCAAACGTGACGCCTATGGTTACAATTAAAAAATCATAAAAATCATCAAAAAGGCTGTTCATATAAGAGGTAACACATAATCTAAGTTTGATCATTTTATATAAACGACAATCTGAATATTAAAAAAAAACACCCTCCCTTAGGAAGCATTTTTGGATAAGACGATTTATGTCAAATCCGTATGAAGTCATCTATAGAATTTGCTATCTTTGTTTGTCAGTTTAGTTTCCGAACACTCTGTATTTGGCATCTTCATAATGACATTGTATTTGAAATACCATAAATATATCGGGAGTTTCAGAGTTGAAGTGACAAAAGCCTAGGGGAGATTCCGCTCAGCAAAAGTTCATATGACCATGGGTTCGCAAGTGCTTCATTTCCGAGATACATTGTTAATTTTTTTTTAAATAATGAGTTTTAAAAGAAAAACGCTTTAGACAATTTGAATGAAATTTTTATGGTTTATTAAAACAATTATCATACATCAACTGGACCAATTAGATTTAATCCAGAATTTTTAGGGGCTTACCCAGCGAGCAGGTAGTTTTTTTGAATTATAGGTTCTCGAAAATGAAGCGAGACACTAAAAAGGGTCAAGAGACACAAATGTATTATTTTTAGTGGGTTTACCTGAATATTACATAAAAACCGCAAAAAAACTACAGGGTGATATACATTATTTTCTACAAAAAAAAACGACTTGCTCGCTGGGTACGTCCCTGAAAATTCTGGATCAAATCTAATTGGTTTAGTTGATGTATGATAATTATTTTAATAAATCGCAAAAATTTCATTCAAATCGGCTTAAAGGTTTTTTTAAAAAATCAATTTAAAAGAAAATTAACAGCCTGAATCTCGGAAACGAAGCACTTGTGGACCAATGTTCATATGAACTTGTTTACATATTTTGCTGAGCAAAATTGCCTCTAGGCTTTTTTCACATCTGAAATACCCAGTATTTATGGAATGTAAATTTTCTATATATTCAACTGTATGGACTAAAAAAAAACACTAATTCGAATATTACTACTTCCAAATAAGTGATATTTTTTCTTTGGAATACAATTATTGTGAATCAAATGAACTTATAGAATTTCCAAAATACTCAGTGGTATCAAAATTTTAGGATTATTAGTGGGGGTGATAGGTGGTATATCAGTTGTATACACACTCAGCGAATTATTACCTGCATTTAATTAAGTCGCTAGCCCAAGTATCATTAATTTATGTCAATTATCTGAAGAAATATTTGCATAATTGTGATGTTTTTCAACAACTTAAACATCCTGTAGATTGCAAATGAAGCAACTTTGGGCGAAGATATATTTGAACCAATTACCTAGGTATTAGTTGAAATAAACTACTGGGCAAAATTAAGCACCATTAACACTAAGTAACATGATTTCGATTGCTTATTTATTTAATTGTGGATGGTCAAATTTCAATTTTGAGCTTAGGATGTAGAGAAGGATTACATTTACTCATAAACTTAAAACAATAAACTGACAGGTTTAAATTTAACCGCGTTGGTTGCCATGTCGTTGGTTTAGATTTTTTGATACTTCGAGATATAACTCTTTCTTCTTCAGAAAAAGAAAGTCTGTCTGAAATTCAATCTCAAAAACTGCTTCTCCTGAAGAAGAAAGCGATATGTCTCCAAACACCAAGAAGTCTAGATGATGTAGCAACCAGTACAGAAATTGTTCAACCCACAGAGCACCTAGAGTGTATCTTTCCTATCCCAAAGCACGGTAACCGATGAAGCCAAATTGCGGGGAAGTGGAGTGTGTGAAGTAATCTGAGCGCGCATACTTTGAGCAGGTTCGGATTAAGGTAATATTTTTATACTTATGACAAATAGTTATTTTTCAAGTTTGTAATTCAGAAAATAATATAATTTGTCTTGCTTATATTAAATAAACCTACAAAATAATTTAAATATATTTATTGTCCATTAAGTAATACTAATTTATTTAATATTTGTCTGTTAGTAGATTTCACTGAATTAAATATTTTAACTTCATGATTTATTATCACATCGATATACTTTTCACATACAGTCTTCACAAGTTCTTATTTGTATTTTTTAAATAAGTTCACATTCAAAAAGTTTTTTAATACATGATACACACTTATTTTTCTGTAGCTTGAGTGTACTGTTTGTATAGGAGTATTAAAAAAATATATTATTATTTTTTCTATTTCTTAAATTGTCATTTTTCTGAAACATAATGATAAAATTAGTTTAACTAGTGCAAAATGTAACGGCATATATTTTTAATATATGAATATAAACATTAAAATTGCTAAAGCTATTATTAAGATTTTTTAAATTTGGATAAAAAATAAAATTCTAACATTACTTTAATATCTTTATTAGCCTTTAAATATTGTAACTTTATTTAGTACAGTTGACGCCACCCAAATGTGAACACATTTTGGTAGTTATGGAAATTTCATCTGGATTTTATCGTAGTAAATCAGACTTTTTTTAGTGGCGTAACACAGAGAGGGTATTCTTATGGATAAATTCGACCAAGGCATTGTCTTCCGCGTCACTGGAAACCTTCCCGACACCTTGCCTGATAGATCTTTGTAATTATTGTTCTCGCCAGCGTTGTTTAATATAAAATATACAACTATTACTGACATTTAAATCTGCAGCCACTTAACTCAAAGACCAATTATCTTCTAATTTAGCTATAGCCCTTGCTCTATGCGCTTCAGTTAAATGCTCCGGCATATTTCACGTTACTTGTTTACATTTAATTACGTTAATGTCTAAATGACATATATGTATATTTGACAACTATTGAATTTTACGACTATGATTTGAAGTTTAAATTACACGGTACAATAATATTGTCGTTCACATTTGGGTGGCGCCGACTGTACATGTCGTTTTGTAACTTTTAGAGAGTTAAATATTTTTGTTTCGTGATTTATTCTTATATCTACATATTTTTCGCAAATAGCTCTAATAAGTTCTAACACATGAAACACAACATTCTAACACAAGAAAATGGGGAAATAATACAATTTTATTCAGTAATAATCACCTGTAATTTAACATTAACGTATGTTTATTATTGAAATTATAGGTTGAGGGTTCAATATTTACAATAATTTTTAATACCCATCATGAAAATAAACACCAATTGTGACAAAAAACTAATTGTAAAAGCCGGTTGATAATATGAGCCTGTATATTTACATCAGTTAATAACGTGGGCACTAAAAAACATGAAGCCAACACTGGAAATAAGTGCATGTGAGATGGAGAATGCTGCGCGACGCCGTCGAAATGTTATAAAATATTTTTATATTATTACTTACCTAAAGAATGAAATTTCATTACTATTGCGATCAGATCTGCTACTACAATCGTCAACGATACACTGTCCCATGATTGCACAAAGGAAAACGATATATTTAATAAAATAGTAACAATGTTGACACAGCGAATGTCTAACAGCGACTGAGAGCACGAGGCTGGCAGGGCCGAGATTTGGCTGACGGTTGGCTTCACCGGCTTGCCTCTACAGTTCAGTCTATTTTGTCTATGATTCAACCACAAAAAAAGACCTATTATTTAAAAAATCATGTTAACTTTTTTCAAGAAAATCAAGACTAAAATTGGTACCAATTTTGAGAGGTGCATTAATTAGTTATCATAAAAAATATATTTAACAGAGAGTATAAAAATATTTGCAACAAATTCTAAATAATTATCAAAATTTCTCCAATATTATTTATCACTTACCTTAAAGGAATTATTGCCATTAATATTGCTTTCTCATGAACATGCCAGCCAAACAGAAATGAAGTCAAACCACATACTATCATACATCTTATAAAATTTGTTGCTTGTTTGTTAAGAAAAAATAATTTTACCATTGCGGGAATCATAAATAATGCAGTTAAAATAATTGTTACTAATGGCGGAATACTGGGCAGAATCGAATGAGAAAACTCTTGCACCAAGCCGCCCGTCATTGATGCTGTAGATGAATTTTCAAATTGTACTCCTGATACTTTGCCTAAAAACAATTATTTCATTATCATTATTATTTAATACAGCTAATCAATTGAATTTACCAACTGCAAACAGGATTTTATCTACTGTATTATAAACTGCCCAAAAGTTTGGAGCCCAATACGCATGACATAATCCACGTTTAAATGGAAACAGTCTTGAAAGCACCTAAAAATATGCATTTCAAATGTAATAGAAGTTGAAGTCTACATTTCGCATAAAAATTAATAGACCACTAAAAACAGGTCTCAAATTCACAGTTAATTTTTTCGTTAATGAGTGGTCTGATTTTGAGAATCGTTTTTTGAATGTATAAATTTATTTCTCAATTATTATGTCAAAGTATTAGTCAGTTTTTGGAATATACAGAGTGAGAATTTGCTTTTCCATGAAATTTGAAACAACCTATAGAGTGCACTAGCGACAGTAGTGAATATCTACTTAAATTAAATTATAGCCTCATCAGTCGATAGCCGCACGGTTTGAGGCGTCAGTACTTAAATCGTGTGCAAATGAGGATTGGCACCCTTTGTGCAGGTATGGTAGGGTGAAAGAATGTGAGAGATTGACACCGGTTGGCATTTGACCACCTAATTAATGAGGTTTTCCAGGTTTCCCTCATTCGTGCACTGAATGGCGGAATAATATGCCGCCTCCTCTCCCCCACAAGACTCCGACTTATGGGCTAATTCTCATAGTTACAATGAGGAGTAGAGATATTATTATATTATCTTTTCTGGACAAATTATTTTTTGAGTCATGTTATTATCTCTGGTATTAATTCAAATACATAGTTACAATATAAATCAATTTAAAAATATATTTAACAATAGCATTCAGGTATGCTTTTATTAAATATATCGTTAAATTGTATGTATATATAGTATAACTGTAAAAATTGTTAGAAGCATTTATTAATGCTTCTTTGTTGTTCATTTTGTTTTTCCTTCGTGTCATTTATTTTTGTCATCATTATTAGTGCTGTTTTTAAATTTTTAAAGTTGTGTTTTAATTTAACTATTTATCTCAATTAATAACAGAAATGGGATAAATCGAACAACGAATTGTTATGAAAAGATTGTACATACTGCAGTTGGAGTATCCTATAGGATGTCTTAAATTTCCAAGAAAAAGTTGTCTTCAAAATTTAATAAAAATAGATGATAAAAATAGATATCTTAGTGTTGTATCTGAGGTATAAATCTAAATTCAAAAACCAACTTTGATAATGGGACCAGTTTTTAGTGGTGTGTTAAATTCAATGTTAAAGAAAAAAAGTAGATATAAGTATGGGTTGCCCAGAAGCAAATTGGTCACATATCAAGCGTCGCTTCATTAGGTGGAAATAAACCGACTTAGATTATTGAAACCTTGGTAGAATGTTGCTTCCTTAAAAAATTGCCAGTTTTAAAAGTTTTTTTTTAATTTTTTAAAATGTATATATTCACTGTTCGTTTTCACTGCAATTTTGTATGGAAGTTTTTTGTTTTTTGCAACTTATTAAAGGATATACTTTCTGCAGAATATGACACAAATTCTTATTTCAAAATATTAATATTCTCAGGGACAAGAAAAATATTGTGGAAAGACAAAATAATTTCAAAACCTGTATACTCTTTTCTTTTTATAATGCATATACTTCAGGCCTTCAATTTTTTGTTATGTGTCGTTACACGTGCCTACACAAAAAAAATATGACACGCCCCTAATTATTGATGCCTCCCAAAATTCCTATTAATAGTCCACTGGCTCTCCCCTTTAAAAGTAGTATGCCTTTTAGGTTGGAAACCTTTATCTTGCGTCGAGTGTACTTATTGTTAAAAAAAATATGGAATTCAGTCATTTAGAGCAGTCATCCGTTAGTGACACCCGAGTATTGGGAGTATCCTATTACAATAAAACTTAACCCTTTTACTACATCTGCAATTAAATCAAATATATTTTCTCATCCTCTATTCAAGTCTCTGGTAGTTTGTGGAACCTTGAAACCATCTTGTCGGATACCATCCCAAAGTTGGTTTCAACATAATTGTTTCCATAATCTCGGAATAGGGACCACCTCTCCGGTCATTATTATTCCCAAGTCAATATTCAGTTTTTCCCTTGCTGTGGTATGTTGTGTTTTTTGCTACCACACCACAGCGTCAAAAAATATCCTAGGTCTTACTATCGATGTGTATATACAGTATGACATCTTTGGCTTCAGCCCCCAGGCTCTACCGATAAAGTGACGACAAAAACACAATGTCTGCTTCTACTAGCATGTGAGTAGACACTGTCTGAGAGGTAAGTTGGTTTCAATTGTAAAAAATATTTAATTTAATAGCAATTTAGTAAAAGCATGGACTTGAATTCTCCCAAATACTGGGATATCCATACATGAAAAGTAAAAAAATTTAATCCATTTTTATCTGGAACAGAACAACATACAATATTTATACATTTTTTATAGAAAATGACATTCCAAAAACATCTGCATTTTCTCAAAATCTCTACCAATAAAAAATTATGACAAATAAATCAAACAAAATACCGCTTAAGGTGTTTTGCGTAACCTCTATCCTTTGGATAACGGATAAGTTAATATTCATTTTTAGCTATCGCAAAAAAACATAAAATATCTTTGAATTAACTTTAAAAGTGAAGGAGTCAGTTATCACAACAAAAAAAATACTTTTTTTTTATCTGAAAATATATAACTTTTTTTGGAAGTAGCATTGTACTAAGGTAACTTGAAATACAAGGTGATTCACAACTTATTTGAAAAAATTTTAAAATATATATGCGTCATGAAAAATGAAGTCAATATCATAAAAAGGTTTTTGTAAAATCATTATAGTTTCCGAGAAAAAAATGATTGAAGTTGTAGTATGCACTGTACACAATTCGCTCCTTCTCCACGTGGTCCTAGGCGATTCTGAATACTGAAATCCGATTTTAGTATTAACGTTTTTGCGATAGTGTTTACATTAGTTTTTCAATTGTCAAAAATAGCTTACGTGTATAGCAACTAGGAGTTGATGGACATCCTTTTAATTTATGGTGAAGTAAGACAACATTTGTGTTAGTTCGTAGAAAATAGGTACGACAGGCCCAAATATGTTTACAGGTTGGTGGACAAAATTTTGAACAGTTGTTGTAACATCAGGTGTGCCAAATTATTTTATTAATTCAAATCACAAATTAATTTTATTAATTAATAATAACAATAGCGGCACAAGCAGTTGAATTTGCTGATATAAAATAGGTGTTATAAAATTTTATTTATTTCTTTCCTTAGGAAAGGTTATTTTTTATTCCACTTTGCCGTTGCGCCGGACTATGACTTCATGCTTTGCCTTGCGCAAGATCTGGTTTTCCAGTGCCATACAGAAGTGTATTTTTAAGTCATTTTCAAACTGCTCTTTTTGATTTTTTTTTACAAAATTGTATTTGTAAGACTCCCCTGAACATTAAAGAATTATTTTTCGGATAAGTTCCGAATCACCTTTTATATTCCATTGACTTCTGGACACTCTCTTTTATAATAAATCTATATAGCAATATTCCAACAAAATGTTATGTAAGTATATGTGATTGTCTTGTCAAAGAAAAATGGTTCATATGAATATCACAAATGCCTCATTTTTTAAATACAAAGTGAATCTTATTATTTTTTTTTTAGTACTTTAATTTATTTTAGGTACAGATTAATTCATTCAAAGTCGCTACTTGAAACGCTTTTTTGAGAATAAATGAAATATATGAATTATTATTCACTTCACTTTTGGAAGTATAACCCTTGTACTGACCCTATTTTTTTTTGTTATGCTGCCTGAGAAAAAAGAATTTCTGTTTCATCTTTCTTTTTTAGTGGAATGTTGCTACAGGATGCATATTAAAGACAGGTATATTGCGGAATTATTTAAACTTCATATAAGTAACTGTACTTACTTGTGGAATGTGATCCTTAAAGGGAAAAAATGTTATTACAAAGACACTTATAACTAGAAATCCTAAATAGAAAACATTTTTGAAAGTTTCTCTTGAAATTACATTCTTTACATTAAGAGGCCCTTTTAAACAATAATGTCTTAGTAAGTAAATGAAATATGGTGGCCCCAAATAAATATAGATATGTTTCATATTAAGTAATACAGTGAACCAAAAGGCTGATGCAAGATGTTTACCCTAAAAAGATATAAGTATGTAATAAAGTTATTATCAATTAAAAACAAAAACTATTTTATATTACCTGTAACATGTAAGCTATTGATATCAATAAAATACCATACATAATACCATTATACTGGAAATGAATATGATCTACCATTATTAGTCCACAATTTGTTATCAATAAAATCGGTAAGACAACATCCTTTCGCCAACTCTTTTGCAAAGATGAACAGCACCTTAAACAAATTTGTCGTTATAAAAATTACTTAGATATTTTATATTTACAAACCGTGATCTGCTTTTGAATATAATAAATATATACTATATAAGTACCAAGTGCTCATTTTTCAAGATGCATCATGCGAATTGCAATTATCTTAAAAGATACAAACTTGGTCATATTAGGATAAAGTTGTAGAATTTGATAATCAAATAACATGCAACACATGACCTTGATCTTTTTTGTTGAGAATTTCAAGAAGTCCCCTGCATCACTTTCTTAGAATTAACCACATTCAACCCTCGAGATAGAAAGATATTGGCGGAATGGCGTTCACTGTAGCAGCTTGCAATGCATATTATGTGTTGCAGTTATGAAGTTTATTCGTAAGGTTCTTGGAACTCTATCTCAACAAATATCGTACGGACTGTATGCAGTGTTATTAACTGAAGCACCTATTAGGAAGCAGAAAGCATATTCAGCTTATTTTTCTTATGGACACCACATTGGTTTTTCATAATTTTTCAAAGCATATATTTTTGTGTATGATTTTAATTTCATGTTAACAAAGTGAACTGACAAAGTTTAATTTTAAATTATAATAAGGATCCTTTGTAAGCATGAATAATTTGATATTTCCACAAAAACAAAAAGTGCAAACTTTATAATATGCCACAAAAATGTGGAAATTTAATATGTCGTCCGCAAAAATAATAAAAGTTGAGCATTAATTTCATCATACTGGTAAGCATCACATGATATATGGGTACAAATTTGAAAACTATAATGGAAAAACAAACAAGTTACGTTTTTCCTGGAAATGAAATAGCGTCATTTTGTAATTAAAATACTGCAAAACATAGTTCATATCTGAATTTGCAAAAATAAATTTAGTTAAGAAGATATTGTAGTTTTTAATATTATTATTATATTATGCAAATATGTAAAAATCAGCGTACCTCATGCATCAATGAGAATAACAAGAAATGTCCACAAAATAAGGTATTCAGCTAAACACTTGACTTAACACGTTATAATATTATTTTATTATGCCAAAGATAAGACAAAAGCGGTCTCATTATTATTAAAGATGAATTTTTGCACTGTGTGCTGTGTACAGGCACTTAAAACGTGTGAGTCACACCCATCAGTTTTCATTTATTTTTCCATCTTATAAAAGACGATGTCATAAAAAATATTTGGCAAAAAATATTAAAAAAAAGGTTAAAAGAGCTGTATTTTTTTAGAAACAGTTACCTAATTATAAGATTTAAAATTCAAATTACATTTTTCTCTGTTTCAATCAAAATTGAGACTTATCTTCATATGAACTCTCACAAAAAGTATTTGAATAATGTTTGAATATAAAAAGTCCAGTCCTTTCCATTTTTGATTATAAAATAGAAACAAAACACATTTTCATTTTCTGCTCAATAAATTAAAAATGAATAAAAAAGATTCACCTTCTTTCAGCTCGTTATTCCTCATCAAATTCTACTCTAAATACTCTACTCTAATTTGATCGACTTTATAGCTTTTGTGATAACCGAAATCCTCATGTGTGTTTTGCAAAAATTGGTATACTTACTGATTTATAATTTATAAACCATTTCTACAGGTGATATCATTATAGACATCTCATCTGTACTGTAATATAATTCATGTATACATACAGGATGCAATACGAGTTTAGGAAGTTTAGTAATATTTTCTTATATACATATTTAATTTACCCCTTGGCATCTTCATTTTTTTTTCATTTTTGAATTGCAAAAATTATTTTGAAAGTACCTAAATGATTATTTTATTAGACGGTGCATTTATTTCGAGATATATTTTGATACATCTTCTAATTGAATACACGCATGCACATAAAATTTCAAATTTTTTATTTCTTCAGAACTTATTCCGAGAAATACACTTTTTTAACTTTATTCCCTTAAATAATTTAAAATAAATAATTTTATATGAAAATATTCTTAAATTTGGACGAGAGAAATGCTCCATTTTGACATTTTAAAGAGTCCCTTTAAAATATGAATATAAGAATTGTTTCATTCTACAAAATCATCGAAGTCACTTCAATTAAGTACCAATTTCAAATGAATAATTATGTACTAACATTTTCTTTTTTAATATTAATTATTAATTTAGGTAATTAAATTTTTCCGATTGATATTTTAAACTCAATGTTATTTCAGATTGCAGAACTTACTTGTACACTACAAAGGCATAGACTAAATCAGTCAAAATAACAGATAATCTTTGAAATAGAACAGTTCGGTCTGAGCTGTAGTTTATGTAATTTACATTCAACATTTTTTCATCAAAAAATTGTGCAGCATGTGACAAAATATATTCAAACCATGCAAAAAGAGGAGGGTAATCCAATGTCCATTTTGATGTATTTTCAAAATACCATTTATTTATAGGTAAACTGTATGTGATTGCTAGCCAGTTTCTGTGAACCTCAAAGTCTGTTGATCGACTAAAAGAAAATCAATTATGCAAGAATTACATTAAATTAAATATTACATACTATGCAGGAATTAATAGTAATTTCACACATGATGTCAACAAAGTTGTTGTAAATATCATATTACATTGATCTACAGAAAAACTATGTTTCTCATTTAAAAATATTAAGATTATGAAGGTTATGGAAATAAGACAGTACTAACCTATATTTTCTATGACATAAGACATAAACACAGACCACCTAGACTGGCCCTATCTAATTCCAATGCACGGGTACCAGTGTATGCAAAATCCGGGGAAGTGGAGTGTGGAAGGCAATCTGATTGCGCGCATCTTTAAGCAGATCCGGATTAAGTAATATTTTTATTACATATTAAACATTATATTGCATCTTACGACAAATATTCAATTTTAATTTTGTAATTCAGAAAATAGTATATTTTAGTGTCATATTAAATAAAACTACAAAATAATTTAAATATATTTATTGTCCTCTAAATAATATTAATTTATTTAATATTTGCCTTTTCGTAGATTTTGCCGAATTAAATAATTTGACTTCATGATTTATTCGTACATCGATATTCTTTTCACATTCAGCCCTTACAAGTTCTATTAAATGATTACAATTGTTAGGCAAATTATCAAATTGATGTTAATGCAAATTTTCAAATATGTTCGCATTCAGAAAGTTTTTTAATACATGATAAACAATTTTATTTTTCAGTAACCTAGGTGTTCTGCTTTCATCATTATTAAAAAAATTTTATTAATTTTTCTGTTTGTTGGCATATTACTACGACATCTCGAGATGGATACCTCAAACAACCACGATCTTTAATAAAAATTAATTGACTGTACGAATACTGTGTATTTGACATTAAACTATTTACACAGTCTTCACATTTTATTGGCTTTATTAGAGAACCTGTTATTACGAAACCGCCAATATATACTATAATCTACTTGCTAATTATTTTTTTGTCACAAAACTGTTTTTTTCTAATCACATTTTGCCAACTCTCATTTTCCAGGGTGTTAAACATGAATTTGAAATTAGTTTTGTTTGCGATTTTTTCAATTGAAAGAAATATTTTATTAATTTACAGCTATCTCGAAATGACGGGAATTGGTAAAATTTCATAAAAACTTGAGACTCGCAAAATGTAAATAATTACTAAAAATATTTTACAGTAATTCATTCATTATTTTATAACAGCAATATCACGTTAATCACTACACTATGTGGGCGAACAAAATTATGAAGCTAACCCTGGAAACTTGTGACGTCAACCGAAAAATGGCGTACATATTTACCTTTTATATATATATATATATA